AAATGGCGAACCAAATTGTGCAGAGGTACACTCGGACTATTCATCCTAAGGATAGCCCTCTTCCGGATGACATGCTAGAATCGTACTCAGGAGACCCATTTAATCAGACTGAATTTAGGTCGGTGATTGGTTCTTTAATGTATCTGTCCAGTGGTACTCGGCCGGACATCGCATTTCCGGTGAATCTGTTGGCACGATTTTGTTCGAATCCTAGCGAAACTCATTGGAAAGCACTCGATTGCTTGATTGGTTATGTGAAGAAAACGGCAAACAAGAAGCTACACTATGAAGGAAAAGGAGACGGACTACAACTGTGGACAGATGCGAACTGGGGTGGCGAACATGAAAGATCGACGACAGGGTATATCATGACGTATTGTGGCGATGCAATTGCTTGGGGATCACGTCGGCAAACTGTAGTTGCTCTCTCAACCTGCGCGGCTGAGTATCTGGCGCTGTCAGAAGGTTCTCAACAACTCGCGCATATTATGAATATCTTGGAAGACATCGAACACCATCCTGAAATCTCAATACATGTCGACAATGAAGCCGCAATTCTAATAGCAACGGATAATGCATCAAAGAAGAAAACCAAGTATTTACAACGCGCGTTCTATTTTGTGAATGATCTGATCAGGGAAAACAACATCAGACTCGAGTGGACAAGCACGGTAAATCAATTGGCGGATGTTTTGACGAAGAAATTAGGTTCGGTGAAAATGTTTGATGCTGGGAAGAGATTAGGTTTATGCGGGTAGTTTTTGCAATCGTGGGAGGGGGTGTTAGAGTAGAACAGGCACGATTACATAAACATTGACTTAACTATGTACTTAGATCATATGTACATAGCTTTTAACCTAGTTGGTGATAGGGTCAAACCTAACCCTATCACTACCGGGCATACAAAGTTCGGGTCAACACACGCTGAGGTCTCCTCTCTCTTTCCTCACCGAGATTGGAGACCAAAGACTCACGTGTGGTGGCTGATCGTGACCGGACTGTTGTATGCAGGTTAGTCCATTATGCATGTGTAATCAAACCGAGATTGGAGACCAAAGACTCACGTGTGGTGGCTGATCGTGACCGGACTGTTGTATGCAGATCCTGAGTTCCTACACTATGTACCACATACTAACTATGTTCAAGTGTCACCACATCATCATCCTCGCCTGCTCTATACCAAGATACATCGTGGCTGCTCCCACTGAGGTCGCTGCCTTTGCACCACATCACGATTCATTTTTAAACGTACCTCCTCCGCTTCAATTTACTCTCGAACATGACAATCAGTTGCAGCTACGAAACCGCAGATTCCTTCATGAGACAATCCCACCAGAAGTGCACCCCCCGATTCCCGACAAGATGGACCGCAACGGGATTAAGATTAGAAAACCGAGCCGAGAACAATTAATCTTAATCAAGTACCTTATCAAGCATGTCATAGCGGGAAGGCCTTATAAGTTTGAGGAAGATGGAAGTTTTCATGATGTGCCCAAATCGCCATGGACAGTGAAATACTATTGTGGGAAGATTGAGGTGTTTGACGAGGAGGATTACCTGCTATATGAGACCTCCTGCTGCTATCGTTTCCCGCATTCCTCTGCCTATTGCTGCTCATGCGATAATCTTGGGGAAGCTTCGCTGAATACCTTCGCAATCATATGTGGACCGTGTACAATCGTTCCCTCGGTCTCTGCAATTTTCTTAATGGTAAAAGAAGTGGGTCCTAGAACTATCCAAAGGATACGAGACGCATATTCCGGTACGCCAGCCGCGCTATGGATGCGACAACAAAAAGCAACAGTAGCTCCGTAGGTCAACCAGTTCTCCTTGACACCGTACCATTGCACTTTTATTCAGCCAGCTTACCTTTCTCTTTCATTCTTTTTCTGAAAGTGCTCCCGAAACTGAGCTTGGCAACCTTGCATAATTATAAGTTGCACTTTTGATCAGGTTCCAGATGCTTTTCAACCACTTCCTAATCACTGATCTGGGCCAAATATAGGAATTATATCAAATCTCTATTACATAAATC